TGCGGCTATATATTTATGCGGCTATATATTACGATGATCAGCATCAAACAAATGTTAATTGTGTCATGAAATGTTATTTCCAAATAAATAATAATAATAATAATATTTAATATTTATATTGCGCAAATTAACATGTTATAGTATATGATCAAATGCGCATCACAAAACATAATTACACTAAAATTATTCTATGCTGAATGGTTACTAAATGTACGATTTCCAAATTAACACAGGAAACTTGGTTTCCCTTGTTAATGTTTTTAGCTAATAAAAATAGCAAAATTTCGTCAAACTACCCTGCTGCAAGTCGAACGTGTGATGAATTTCACGGGCCATAATGAAACAGGCTGCCGCTTATTGTAAGGGATATTATATTTCCAATAGCAGCATTCATTCCGCATTCAAGCCGATATCTTGAAGCATAGTTAATGCTTGAAGGGAAGTATGCCATGGTGGAAAAGACCGAGTGAACTATACGTGCTATAATTAATTTGTAATTCACAAGCAATTTTTCATTGAAAATAAGAAACAAACAACAATTAATACTGAATAATCACAACAATAGCGCACTATAACAAGCTTTTATTTATCAGCAGTTCAAAGGTCAGCTGTGACAAATGATACAATACTTAATATTGCTGTCGAGCCAATTATTACATCATCAAAACTGAATAGTTTACCAACTTCTTTGCATTGTATATTCTAAAATAATCCTGTCCTCATATATACTATATTTTGATATTTTATACCTCTGTTTGCTTTTTAATTACAAAAACAGTGTAGCATTTTATCAACAGTCACATCAAGAAAGAAATAAAATGTATACTTTTGAAGTTGAGTATTCTCTCACAAACATATTTTCATATCAAACTGGTCAGTCATCAACATTTGTATATTTTCACTTTTATCTGTTCCTAACATATGCCATTAGATTTGTTGTTTGCAAACGTTGATAAACTTTGTGCCGATTTACTAACAGTACACGTCCAGTGGCTCTGTAGCTGGGGGGGGGGGCATGCCCCCACCCCCTATTGTCGAGACCTGTTTGAAAATTGGAAATATGTTGTCGGCATTTTCATGTGCTGAAGCATATCTGCATATACAAGTGGGGATTTTACTTCCCTTTGTTGTTTGACAATGCAAAACATGTATATGTCTTGTTTATTGAAGGTGATAAAATTTTTAAATGTAACTTCTTGTCATAAATTGGTAATTAAACAAGACTTACCTTAAGTCGAAGTTTGATTGTAATTCTACGGAGTCATCAGCCAGGAGTGGAGGAGTTGTACGACAGACTGTACCACACATGTGCAAGTCAGTCTTTAGAGCATTAGCGGAGGAGTTGTATGGGATGGGAAGTAATAGGGTGGGTGTACAACTCCTCCACTCCTGGCTGATGACTCATAGAATTACAATCAAACTTCGACTTAAGGTAAGTCTTGTTTAATTACCAATTCTATTTCATCATCAGCCGAAGTCATTACGGAGTTGTACAAGATTTCAGAGCTGTCATTGAACTAAAATTACATTCAATCAAGCTAGAACACAAAAGTAACATTGTAAACAATATATTCAACAATATATAATGTCCTTTATATCAAACTGTTTCCCAACAAGGAATGACGTAGATGCTGCACGTGTATAGTGTGGCTTTTGTAAACAGATATATCGATACTAGCAACTGTCATAAAATTCTTGATCCATTGAGAAATGGTCTCACATGAGACTGCCTTGTGAGGTCTTATACAACTAATAAATAACTGTTTTTCATCATTTTGTAAAGACATAATTTGTCTTGTCAAGGTATACTTTCAAATGACTGACAATACATAGTTTTTGATCAATTGGATAAGCTAAAAATTCCAACGGAGGTTGATGTCTACCTGCTTGAGTATGCTTCAATTTTTCAGTTATAACAAACATGACTTTACTATCTTCAATGGACATATTGTCCAATCAGAAATTATAAATTGTCTGACATCTTTGACCACTAAGCAGACACAATAAGAATGCAAACCTATGCCAGATCTCTCAGGGAAAGCAAATTCACAGGCTCTTGCTTCCTAATATAAGAGAATACAACATTCATATCCCAAGTCAAACTATATCTAGGTAATGCTGGTCGTTTTTCAAATATACCTTTCATGAATTTTTTCACAATGGGTAATTGACCAAATGCTATATGACTATACAAAACACTTCTAGCTGTATTAATATAACTGTATGATAAGCCAGAATGAAATAATTCAGACAGAAAACTCATTGCTAAAGGCACAGGAGTAGAAACAACATCACAATGATTCTTTTCACAAAACTCAAACCATTTCTTAGCAACAGACTGGTACTGAGATTGGGTACCTTCCCTTCAAGAACTCAAAATGATGTCAATCGTATCTGTAGAGAAGCCTCTTACCTGTAATTTGCCCCTGATACAAGACAAATAGCTAGTCTTAGTTTCTTGTGTAGAGGGTGTCTCTGCGCTGGCTGGAACAGCAGCAGTAACATATTCTGAGCTGGTGAAAGGATGACTGGTGGTTGCTCCAGTATTGGTAAGAGCATGGGGTACCATGACTGTTTTGGCCATTGTGGTACTACTAGAACTCCTCTGAGTATAAAACTTATTGAAGAAAAATAGTAGAAATTTGTATCTGCCCAGGATATAGTAAATGCATCGATGTTGCTGGCAAATGGATCTGGACTGTAGGACACGTACTGGTCAAATTGCTTATCAATGTGGGGAGCAAATAAATCAATCACAGGAGTGAAGTGTATCCTTTCTAATTCCTGAGATAAATACTTTGGATTGAGCATCCATTCAGTGTCTAAGTTACAATTTCTAGAATCGAAATCAGCAGTAGCATTTACATGCAAATCGTGTTGGCGATTAAAACCCTTCGATTTTGCCCAAATGGCTCGTTTACTTTTGGTACGGAAAGATTTGTACAGTTTGCTGGCATCTTATATTTCTTTAATATCTCTTGATAGTATTTATGACAAATAAAATATAGAATCATGTCAATATTTCCTGCATGATTTCTTCGCTGACTCCTTGCTCAATGACAAAACGCACTTAGACAGACAGGGAGACATGTGACCAGCCGATAGCAGAGTACTTTCCCAGCGGGTGGCAATTGGAAAGTCCCTGCAACAGAGGTTGAGTGTTGCCCTGAGTTTTTTGTAATTATCTTTCGAGGTTTAACCACTCCAGCACACATGCTACCGGAGCATTTTGTGTTTCCATAAAAAGATATGATGTTACTTATAAGTGTAGATGAATATCAATTAAGAAAATCTGTATGTGTCATAAGGAAAACTCAATGTTGTTTATGAGTAAACGTACTGTTAAGTTGAAAGCCTGCAGTGGCACCTCGGTTAACAACTACTTTGTCTAACCCATTTCTTAGTTGGATGTAAGTATTTTCTAGTATTTTTTACATTGAACTGCTCCACTTGGCATCAATGTTAAGCTTAACAATAAATCTCCTTGCTCTCCTCGAAACAATCTGTGCTGCACCCCAATAGCACTTTCTGGTGCTATATTTCTCTTCCAGGTGTGCTTTCATTCTTCTGTAGGTCAATTTCGGACCAAGTTTTGTGTTGCCACTAAATGTTAGTAAACCTGTCTGCATCCACAAATCTGCAGAAATATTTAATAATCTTTCCGATATGCGGATATTTCTTGACACTTTTGCTTACTCATGGGGGTGTCTTTCTCTGTAGCAACCATTTGGAGGAAAGAATTATGGCTACTCTTCTCTTTTTTTTTGTGATATAAAAAATTGCATGTTTTTCTTAATTTTAGCTTTAACTTACTTGGAATAAAGTGGTTTTTGCCTCTGAGAGACCCCCAGTCTTCGGAATCTAACAATTTCTGAATAACTATCTAATGCTACAACAGGTATTGTTGTGTCACTATTAATGCCATATCTTCCCTGTCTGTTTCACTGAGCACAATTCCAACCTCCTGGAGAGACTTTTCTTTAACATGAACAACCTCGTCAACAGCATCTCTTATGTCTTGGAATTCCTCTATAGCTTCACTGACTGCTTTTCTTTCCATAGCAAGGTTGTTTATGCCAAGTTCTTTTCTTGCTTTTTTTTCCCGAAATATGAGCTGTCGCAGCTACTCTAATGAGTTTCTTATCTTTTTCACTTGATGCCAATCACATACAATCTTCAGACTTTCCTTATAGATTCCTTTCAGCATCACTGTTTCTGGAACTAACAAACTTTATAAACTCATCAGACCATATTCTTTTGTAATTCGTGAGTTTTTAACTTTTGTAATTCGTCAGTTAATAACCTTCAATTTAAAAGGGGTGGTATTTGATTTCTCTAGGGGAAATGCAGGGTTGAAGGTTATTATGTTATTACATTTCCTGAATGGCAAACTTTATCAATGGCATGCACTGACTACAGTTTAAATGATTGCGAGTTCTCCGGAAATACCTTCTTCTAGGACCTTCTAGCAGTGACAAATTTGTCCAATAATCAATCTTGAATACGAGACAAGCACAAATTATCAGTTAATTTAATGTTATTAGTCAATATCATTTTAACATATACAAAGTATCTGTCAAGCAAAGTATTCTTTCCTGTAGAACTATGTTCTGGTACAGGTTCTATTAGCCTAAAAAAGATTCTTCCTTGGTAACCACAGTAGTTGCATCATCATCCAAAATTACTGATTCTCCTTTTGCACAACTTAGTTGACTATCTGGGTCTTTGTCTCCAGAAATCACAGATGGATCTTCACTAGCATCTTCGTTTTCTGTATTCAATTTCAATTCAATTTATTAAATTGCCACAAAAAAGGAATTATTTACAAGCCAAACATAATGAAAGATGCATGTGACGAGGAAGCCCAAGTAGAAACCATAAGGCTTATTGAGTTATGGGCTTCCTCATTTATAAAAGTTTTACAATAGTTTATTCACAGCTGTGCTATAGTAGTCAGATAGACTTGACTTAACTAAATTTGGCATATCTGGGTTTTAGAGTATTAAAACCCAAGTATTAAAAACATGTTATAGTCGAGAGAATAAGAAGTTTCTTAATTTGAATTGGAATTGTTGAAGAGTTGGTGCATTACGGATATCGTTACTCAGTGTATTAAAAAAACTTGAACCTTTATACGACACAGAGAATTGACGTAACTTAGTTCTACACAATGGTACATATAACAATTCAGCTCTCCGCAAGCCATAACCATGCACCTGTTTTACTCGTAACACCAGGTTGTCAAAGTTTCTAGGAAGCCTATTATTCAGTAAATCTTCACCCTTCGGAACGCACCTTTCTATTGGCTAGTTCTTAATTGACGGTCGCAAGCGTCGCCGAGAAAGATTGGACATTCTATCACGTCATATTAAGCCAATTATATGAGCTTTGAACAACTGTCTGTTAAAATGTAAAAATCTTGCCCGCTCTTCTATAGGATGTTCTTAAAATGTCATATATTGTATAAAATTATATGCTCTTTCAAAAGGTTACTTACTCGTAGGTTGCGCAAGCCTTAAAATGAACGAAAATCTCACTCAAATTGGACTGTATTACCGCGTGTCTTATATACTATTATAAGCCATTTATATGCGTTGCGAAGAACTTCCTGTTAGGCTAATTTGTAGATTTTGCGCCTGCTATTCTATAGGATTTTCTTAAAATTTCATATATTGTATAGAATTACATGCTCTTTCAAAAGGTTACTTACTCGTAGGTTGCGCAAGCCTTAAAATGAACGAAAATCCCATTCAAATTGGACCGGCTGTATTACCACGTGTCTTATATATACTAAGCCATTTATTATATGCGTTGCGAGGAACTTCCCGTTAATTTGTAGATTTTGCGCCCGCTATTCTATAGGATTTTCTTAAATTTCATATATTGTATAAAAATATATGCTCTTTTAAATGGTTACTTACTCGTAGGTTGTGGTTGTGCAAGCCTATAAACAAGCGAGAATCCGTCTCAAAATGGACTATGTGGCAGGCGTCATCGTAATTAAATCTGATATATACACAAAGTCATATATGTGTGCGTCAAAAATTGCCTGTTTAACCATCCATAACTTGCCCTCTATTCTGTGCAATTTTTTTAAACTTTAATGTATTGTATGAGGGGGTCATAAAAATAATCAGTGAAAAAATCACCAATATGATTTTATTGAATTTGGAAATATTTGGATCAAGAATGGTAAAAAGGTCTAGAATCTATCAACTATCTCGTCACCTATAACAATGAAGCAAAATTCATTTGACACTCTGTTCACACAGTCCATAGGAAAACATTTCCATGATGTTTGTCAATTGACCTCGTTTTTATCCATTTTTGTGTGAAAACATGAATGAAAGAAAACAGGACCGTAGCATGATTTCAAAATCATGCACGATTTCAAGGTCTGCATGACTTCAAAATCATGCAGAACTTGATCAATCAGTTTAAGCTTTATTAATTTTAACCGGCTACATCATCCATGATAAACTGCAAAGAATGAAGATAGTACCCACAGTTTCCTGCAACTTATCCTAGTTATCCAACATATAGTAAATTAAATACGCCTTCGCCCATTTAGTACTACCAAATTGTCAATTTTGACATACTAAAACGCTGTTTTCTGACCATCAGAATTCCGCTGTCAAATCTTCCCCCAAAGGCCAGGAAATGGCGTTTTAGAGACTCTAGATTTAAAAATTTTCTTGGCCCTTCTGCCCTTGCTTTCAGCCCCCCAATAAAAGAGCTTCCTATGGCCCTGAAACACTATGGAAACGACACCGTGTGGATTAATAGTTAGGATGAGGGGTCAAAAAATTTTCAGTAAAATAATAGGGGGTCATAATTTTTTATCAACTTTTCTCTTGGGGGTTCCAAGTTTTTGCATGGAATTAGACATCAGTTCCTCAGGCCCATCCCCCCCCCCACCCCCAGCTAAAAAATGAATGCTCCCTAAATTACACAAAGTCAATTAGATATGTGCGCTGTCAAAAATTGCCATGAGCCATTTACAAAGCATTTCTAAATCTGAATTCACTGCATCTTCAAGGTCACTTAAGCATTCTCCAGTTGCTGTGATATTTGTATCATCAGCATGCAAACAACCGCGATTTTTTTACCCAGACATGTGGGTGGGTCATTAATCCCCGAGCCGGCGGCGCAAAGCGCCGTGCAAGGGTACTAATTCCCCCCGGCTATTTACACCCGGCGAAACGAAAGCATTAGCGGAGTCTAAAGTTCATCAAATATCGCGGGCGTCGGTCACCAACGATGGGTGGTCATCCTCACTGATCTCAAAAATATGGCGGACTGTCATGAATAACGGACACTGATTGGTCCAATTTAAAGTTTGCATTATAACGGCTGTATGACGACAGCGAAATAGCAAACATTTTTTGATTTGATGAGTTGATGATTGATAAATTTCTTGCAAATATTCTTCATTTTTGCTGGTATTTCTGCAAGATTTTGTAAATTTCAAGAAGAAAGGGCGAAAGAATCAGCTAAAAGAAGGGAGCCGACGTTAACGAAGGTAAGTTTGTTTTAAATATTGTTTTTATAATGGCTTTTTAAAACCGACGGCTTTTGCGTATA